TTGGATTTTTATTCAGTACCTTTAAGCTATCAATTAAATATGGTAGTTTCATAGTGTCATCTGATCAATAATTGTCATACTTAATGATTATGCAAGTACAGATCTATAATTTTATTATACTATTATTTTTGTTCTCATTTGAGGTTAATATTGCTTATAAACCTAGATATGTAAATAATAAATTTTATTATTTTACAAAAAGTTTGGCAACAATGTAAATTTTTCAACACACCCACCTTGATGACGTGCACGCCACTTTGTTTGGCGTTGACTATAGTTCATATTGGGAATCATGACAAAATGTCAGGGTGCTGTTCTTAACAGTTATATACATAAACATACTGCCTCCGTCCTCCCGACCTCAGACAGCCAACCTTGGACATCTGTTTCGTGCTTTTTGCAACTCATCCGCCGTGCTCTAGGCTTGGTTATACAGTGGTCCAGGATTAGCGTAACGGGCTTGTCATATAACATTGAAAAAACACAATTTCTCATACAAACTAATGCTCTATTAAGAATATGTTACTCTCCAAGTGAAATTCGTACCATAACCCCTAATTGGCGCTCATCGCTTTAGGAATGAGAGTAAGGTTGTGTGGTTAGTTAAAGACAAATGAAAATATTTTACAGTTTTGGAATAAATGCATAGCCTATACCTGGTATCTTGTCTAGTAAAGAGTCAACCGATCTATGCAAATAAAATATACTACGACACTGTCTTCATGATAGATGAGGTCTTTCGGCAGTATCTCATCGCATTCGGTCCAATCAGCTAGAGGGATTTCATCTGAAACCGAGAATTATCACCGGATTTTGGCGACCTTCCCTACACTTTGCATAAACTCGGTTATCGGCAGGGAATTGGTATCGGATTGTGCCAAGACTCTAAAAAGAAAGGATTGCCATTTCTCAACTTTGCTGGTAAAGTAATACGTTAAATTTTGCCCCAATTGGAGGATAACGGACGTTACATAGTAGGAACCTTCTTCAATTATAGACTCAGCTAGGATAGCAGGTCCGTATGGCAGGCCCAGGACACAATGGTATCACACCGGAGAGGCTCAGTTGGCAAAGTTCCATATTTTTGAGGATTCCCTGGCAAATTTTCAAAATTACCTGCGTAACTGTTAACGACCTGTTACTTTCACCTCAACTTACGTTTTAACTCTTCGCTGGATTCATTTGTAATGGAATTTTGAATGCACATTGACATCGCCACTTTTTCTCCTTCAATTAGAATTTCAATATGACGTTTCGTCTCTTGTCCGCCAGCACCATTTTTATTTTTTCTTGTGGATGCCATATTGGATTTTTGGACAGGTGAATAGAGTTTTTAGTTCTGATTCTAAAACATTGGCATTGCAAAATCTTAATTATTCAAAAAAAACAGAATTTCGTAGGTAGGTCTTGAAATAATCAGTTTATTTCGTATACCAGATTTATCCAAGAATAATTTTTATTTTTCGCTGGCTTTATTTGAGATGAAATTTTAAAGTAAATTGCATGTTATTATTTCCACTTTCAGGCTTCTACAAGAAGTACTCAACTTTTCAATGCGAGGTTCATTGTTTTGAATTCCATCACCAACTTTGCTTTCCATATGGGCGCTATATGGAGTTTTTAGTCCTAAATCCAGTGATGTATTTCCTTAGCTTTCCATCAATTTGTTATTCGAACAAAAATTATAGGGAAATAAGAAGCTATAAACAGATGAGAAGACCTCAAATTGAACATAGTAACAGAGTGTGGGAGACCGAGAAGAAGAGAAATAAACCGAGCAGTGAACAATGTACTGAGAAGACTCAGGCTTTGCCTACAAAATAACGGACAAATTTATGCATTGATTTACCTTTGCTTATTTATCATTATTGCTATTGCCAGCAATCATTTTGTGTTCAGGTTTCACTAGACATTTTTATTTCCTTAATATAATAGTAATCATTTTTGTTCCAATAGCACATTCATGGCCAACTAAGGAAGTACATCACTGAATTTGAGACTAACAAACTCCGTTTACATTCACAAAGTTGCTACATAGCGTCTATATGAAAACGCAAAGTCAGTGATGGAAGTCAAATGAAACAAACCTCGAACTGAAAATTTGACTACACCATCTTGTACGGAAAAAAACGTGACAATAACAAACTGCAATTTATTTTTAAATGCCATTTTAAATAAAATAAGTAAGTGAGGATAATATTAAATACTCGTAAAAGTAATTAAGTAAAAAAAAATAAAAAAGATTTTGCGATAAACCCGATATATGAAACAAATTACTATGTGATAATTACAAGGCCTACCCAGGAAACGCTGTTTTCTTTTCAAGTAAAAAATTCAAACTGTTTTGCGAAATTCGATTTTTCCGTGAGTCTGTTCGGAAGTACTTTGAACTTAGAAGCTTTTTATGGAACATATTTGACTAAAGCCGCGTGCAGACCGAGATTCCAAAGCAAGCCAAGGCACATGTGGTTACAGCTTTCGAGGTGCTCGAATCAATGTGTACGACGCGAGCCAACATAAGCCAACGATTTCCAAGGTAGCCGATGGCGTACGAATTGCGTTCGCTCCTTGATCGGTACATCAAAGAGAGGTTTGATTTGGTCTGGACGGGATTCGCTTCGCCTCTAGTATTTAGTCGTTTGTCTGAATTGGATGGAAAGGAGCCTAGTAAATAGTACTCGTTAAATAACACATGGCATGATGAAAAAAAATTTTAAGTAAAATACTTTATTAGTAAGTTTTTTAGGGTGCTGAAACTAAATATGATACTTAAAATGCCGGACTGGACATATGTTATATAGTTCGAATAATTGAAAAACTAGGTCTAAATGGACGCAGAAGACGTTGGTAGCACCGCTGAAACACATTTTCTCACATTCACAGTAGGGCTAGGGAACAGCATTGGTGCAGAAAGAACTGGCCCTTGAGGGAGTCTGAAACCTGGTGAGAACAATATTCTCTGCAAAAATCTCGTAGACCCAAAAAACGTGCTCCTACCACCTCTACATATAAAGTTAGGACTAATGAAACAGTTTGTAAAGGTTGTGCCTAAAGATGGACCATGTTTCAAGTATCTCTGCCAAAAGCTTCCACACCTTTCAGAACCAAAAGTGAAATAAGGCGCCTTTGTTGGACCTGACATTAGAAAAATCATGTTTGGCTTTAACTTTGAATCCACAATGACCTTAAATGAGAAAAAAACATGGGCATATTTCAAGAAAGTCGTTAAGAAGTTCTTGGGGAAATAAAAAAGACTACTATTGTAGCTAACATGTTAGATGATCCTGAAAGATCAGTCACCTTGATTACTTCCCCAACAATTTGGCAGATGTTAGTGAGGAGCAAGGTGAGCGCTTTCACCAAGGTATTAAACTTATGGAAAAACGCTACCAGGGCCGATGGAATACCAGCATGATGGGGGACTATTGTTGCTCACTTCACAGAGAGGCAACTCATCGAAGAGAAAGCTACACAGGAAGCTTCAAAGAAAAAAGGAAAGACAGTATAAACCAGTTCCAGCTGACAACTATATCACTGTTTTAAGTACCCTACTCTAAATACAAACCATGCTAATTAAATGTAACATAGCGTGTTCATTAGTTCCACCATATACAGTATAAGGATTTTATACTATATAATCAAAAGCAAACTGCTCAAAAACTATGGGTGATGAAAAAAACTAAGGCGATATTTGGATTCAGCTGACAAAAAGCTATAAAAATCAGCCATCAAAGTAAAAAAGTCTTAAACATTCTTTTTTTGTTTTTGTTGGCCTGTGTAACCATAACCACATCTGAACAACAAGTTCACAAATAGTGTTCAATACTGATTGTCAGGCAATACCGACTTTAATCGTAGTAATGACTACAGCTTTTTTACATAAAAGCTGTATGGATGTAGATGAATGGATAATTTTTTTTTTAAATATTTTTTGCTAGGTCAGGCGACTGACACGCAAACGACGTATTAAAATGTTGGAATACCTAACAAACCCATAAGCTGTATCATTAGCTAATAAATCACTTTTGCTTCCCTGCTCAAAACATGCCAGTTTATCAACAATCTACATCGCCTAAAGTAACTTGAAAGAAAGCACTTGATGTGTATTCAACCATTATGTTAAGAGTCAATTATCGTGGTTGATAAATGGTCACAATATGTATTTCGGGATTTTGTTTTTAAATACATTCAACAATTTTGGAAATATGTGATGCTTATTATAGTGTCAGAAAGTATAGGTGTTATGTTTCACGAGTCACTACACATTATACAGGGTGTTTCAAATTCGACCCTCACCATTAGGATCTTGGAAACCGTAAGAGATACGAAGTCGCCTAAATAGGGGCAAAGTTGCGTATGTATGTAATCAACAAATTGCCACGTATTAAGTTTCGAAATTCAAATTACTTCCGGTGAGAGACGGAAAAAACGAATTTCCCCAAAATCGTTTTAATTTTTTCCTGATTTTATTTGTAGTGGGATTCCAAAATAACTTGCACATTAACATTGTCACTTTTTCTTCTTTACAAGATGACATAATTGGCATTTCAATATGACGTTTCGCTTCTTGTCCTCCAGCATCAACCTTATTTCTTCTTATGGACACCATATTGGATGGCGTGATGGCGACTGAACTGTGTCGTGGTAAAACTTTATAGTCTCGCTTCGCAAACGAGACCACGCATTTTAGAAAAGGAAGTTTTGCTGCCTCACCCTGTATGTTAAAATTGAGAGTAATATTCAAAGTACGTCCAAAGATAAATAAAGACGAATTTTTTGTATTTTTGCATAACATTCATTATCTAAGAAATCATATCCTAGAGGACTAGCGCGTTACTATTACAGACAAATTTTACATCTCTATATGAACACAACTAAAGACTAAATTCATGACTTTGTCTATGACTATGGTTGTGTAATAAATAACACAAATGACATCAACTGATTGAAGCGCCACATGATAATATTTGTCAAACGCCCCCTGTATCACATCCTACAAAATGGGCAAGTGTCGACCAATATGTGTAAGCTTTGTTTCTTTTTTTCTCGAATATACACTACGTTGGCTCCAACGTTCGCTTTATATGAGAATGTTCAGAAAACATTTCAGTATTGATTAGTCAGAAAGATGCCTCCATGTTTGTTCATTTTTAGATGACCAGCTGCATTCAAACATGAGCCTCAAATAATTTAGTATCACGTAACACACAAACATAGAAGCTGAAAGACCGATGTAGGCATGATGAAATCATCTCCCCATCAAGTTCAAACAAGCGCAGCAATATGAGTGAAGAAGGCACAATTTAGTTGCAATTATACTTTTTAAGTGCAATTCCCAAACAAAGAAGTATACTCGTATTTTATCGTAGCCTTCCGCTACTTGGAACCACCATAAATAAATAAGCTTAATCTGATCAATCAATGTGGATTAGAATAAAACCAACCAACGACAGAAGTTTCGTGTTCTTTGTCAGCTCATCAGTATGGACTAGGTTTAGCCTAAGATGGACAACGGTCGAAAGGGTAGCAACTATGCCCTTACTGGCGACCTGAGGCCCTTAAAGCTCCAACCAATAACTGCTATCCACTCTTGCTTTTGTCGGATCTGCTACTAGATGCCTCTTTGTCCTATTTCGATAGATCTCATCTCAGATAGCTTAAAGTTTTTTATGCTTACTTTCGTTATCTACCTGAAACCAAGCCCAGAGCACGGCGGATGAGTTGCTAGAAAACACGAAACAGATGTCCAAGGTTCGCTGTCTGTGGTCGGAAGGACGGAAGCAGTATGTTTATGTATCCAATTGTTAAGAATAGCGCCCTGATATTTTGTCATGATTCCCAATATGAACTTGTTTTATACTTTTCTCGGAGCTCCCAAAGGTTAGACGGTATTAATATAGACTTGGTCGGCGGTTGCTCAATGGTGATGTCAAACCGAGAAACAGTGAAATTCCATAAATGGTCATAAGCTATAGTGGTCGATAAGCAAAATTGAATAAGTAATGTCAAGCTAATGACAAAACAACCGCATACTGGAATAGTCTGTCGAATGTTCAATAGCGGTATCGCAACCGTAAACTATGAGCAGAAAGCGAAATCAATACGGAGAAATGAAACATTTATCTAGATGCTGGCAATGAACGATTCAAAGGGAATACCACGGAACTGTTCATAAAAACAGACGCCGTCGGGAATCAAAGGAAGCACCGCAACTTCCGGTTTCGCTGGCGATGCCCGACGATTCCGAGTCTTGTTAGACTTTGATATGCCAGATTAAAAAATTCACTTACCCGATCGCCGGCACGGCGTTCTATTTTATTCTCGATGCGGTATTCCTTTTGTGCATACTTGTTATGCTTTGTGATATAGCCATTCATTAGATTCCTTTAGGTTCACAAGTTCAGCATAAATGTCAGATACCAAAGTATAGGTAGTAGCTTAAGTAGCAGGCTAGCCATGAAGAGCTTAAATAAACTTTGTTAAGCCGATTCTAATGAATCGAGTGATCAGTTACCAGTAATTTGAATCTCTCTTTATAATTGATACAGTACCGATTCCTAGACCAAAATCTTTTCAATGATTTTCTTTAGGCGAATTTCATAATTTATTGACCTATTGAGCTCGAAACTACCTAATCCTGAATGTATGATTTCACACATATTATATCTTACTTTATTAGTGACAGTATTGTGTTGAAGTCTTTTGTACACTAATGTTATAATATTTTATTAACGGCTATCTCAGAAATTTACTCAGAAAATATCATTGCACCCTCGTCGACCCCTTGACCCGCAACATTATTTTGAGAAATAATACGGTCCTCAGATCTGCCCATAGGCTACTAGTGATGTTCTCTGTATAGTTTCGGCTGCGGAACTTTTCTTGAAATTCGTGTGGGTGATCTTTTTTGGTTGAAGCATTGGTTGGGAAGGTGTACTGCCGGCCATTCAATTGTTCTCTCAGATTTTGGGATGTTTGGACAGAGTCATCAATCAATTGAGTAGCACCCTTTCTTGTACCTACCTTAAGTTCAGTTGTTGGTTTAGGTGCTACCACCTCCATTTTCACCTCTTCAGAGGAAGTTCTTTTTTTATACCATCTGACCCCTAGATTTTATTTATCGCGACTTATTAATTTATTATTTAATGAAAAAGAAAAGGAAAGAGGAATTACACCACCAGTTCCTCTTGGTTATAAAAAAGGGCGTGGCGTGATTTTTGACTGCGCAAGGTTAGTAGATCTGGGGTGAGCCTTCTCAGGTAGATTATTTCACAATATCGATACCCTAGGCACAAAAGATCGGTCGTATCGACCAGTTGTGAATATACAAAGTTCGACACTGCTAGGATGAGAGGCCATATTCTGATTTGATTTTTTGCACTATTATTCAAAAAAGGATCCTGATTAACGAATCTGAAAGTTGTTAGGATCAAGATTGCATCAAAAATTGTTCGGACAATTTTCGAACAAAAAAAGGTCGTCATCAACTTTTCCCTAAAGGTCATAGCTTACGAGATGTAAGCGGTTAAATATGTGAAAAAGTACGGAATGTGCCATACTCGACATCGCAAACCAGTATGAAAAAACGAAAATTTAATTGCTGCCAAAATTCTTAAATATTTTTCATTCATCCGATAGCAGATCCAAGAGCATTCTAGGGTGCGTTGTCATTAAGATCCTTTGTTTTTCAGTGGCAAATCAAGCGCTCGCTTACGCTGCTTGATTAACAATTAAAACCAAATACTACAATATGCCTAAACTGCGTTGGCATTGTGATAATGGTCATTAGGAACATATTCAGGAACCTTGTCATCAAACATTTTCGTGTTTTCATAATTCTATTGTGTTTGGAGATCTAGAATGGCATACTATACTTCGCGGTTTTTCAAATAGGGAATGACATATCTCGAAAAACTGTAGAGATGCGTTCATCAGGACCATTTTGTTTAGGATCATCTAAAAAACCCCAAAAAGCTTTGTCTATAGCTAAAAGACACAAAATTTTGGAATTTGTTAGAGAAGTTTGTTTACAACTTTTAAGGCACATATGTGCAACTTGCAAGTTCGTGAAAAGGAGTCCTTTTGAACAAGATTGTGCAAAAAATCGAATCTGAATATTTTTCCGAACGAACTTGAAGTAACTTCCCGGATACGAGGAATCCCAAGGATATTTGAGGATTTCATAGGGGATCTGAAGGAACCTGGGCGGTAATCTTATGTACAGGACATTGGTTGGCCGCTATAAAGGGTTTTCAATAATTCACGTGCGAATTGGATTAAATATAAAATACATTCTTCCTAGGTTGTTATCTATTTATTGAGTCATAGAATACACATGATAACATAATATAGAATTGTACGTGAGACGAATGTTCTCATCGCTTTTGCTGCTTATATTGGATATAATTGATGTAGATGATATACAGTGTCGTAGTATTTTGTGCCACAGCGATAATTAAATTGATTTTTGTTTGGCAATTGCTTTTAGGTGGTTGTAAGTAGAGGAACGACCTTTACTCCGGAGAAACCAAAAAAATCTAGATGGAGAAAACAAGATGTTGAAGGCAGAGCAAAAGTAAAATCACGAACACGTAGAAATCTTGGCCACAGTTACTTAGATTCTAGAGGTCGACAACGAGAAGCTAGAGTATTAGGTCCCCCATGCCAGTGCAAGAAGAACTGCAGACAACTTCTCCAAGGAACTGAATCCAGTATATTCAACTCATTTTGGGACTTGAACACTTATGACAAACAAAATACTTATCTATTCTCTACTATAAAAGTTATACCGAAAAAGAGAAGCTACAAAAAGGAGACTAAACGGCAGGAATCGGCTCGAAAAGTAATGAATCAATATTTCGTCAAGGTAAATGTAGTTGACGTTCAAATATGTAAAATCGAGTTTTTATCTGTCCATGGTCTTCAAAACTCCAGTAAGCGATTGAAATTTATTGCTCGGCAAATTTCCGAAGGCAGAACAACTCCAAAGAGGGATGGCAGGGGCAAACACCAAAACAGGCCCAACAGAACGTCTGCAGAAAGAGTTCAGTCTGTTCATGACCACATTCAAGCTATTCCAAGATATGTGAGTCATTATAGCAGGTCAACCCAAACAGAGTATTTTTGAATACCTCAACATATCGACACTGTACAAGGATTATTATGTTGAATGGTGCAAGGAACGTGCAATAGCACCAGTAGAAGAAGACCGGTATAGGAGAATATTCTGCTCTGAGTACAACATAGGTTTTAAGTTGCCCAAGAGTGATACTTGCCATACGTGTGATCTCCCAAATAACCAAATGGAAGCCAACAAAGAAAACCAAGATGAATATAACAAACTCAGGATACAACTGCAGCTTCATCAGACGAAAGCAGTTGCCATGCAGGAATGTTTGAGAAAAGAAGTATTAGACAATGCAAAAAATTACACAAAGTATAATATATCTTTTGATTTGCAGCAGACTCTTCCCACGCCTTCGCTCACTATAGGCCCTGCTTTCTATCTACGCAAGGCTTGGACATACAACCTTGGCATTCACGATTGTGTCAGTGGCAAAGGTAGTATGTTTCTGTGGGCCGAAACTACTGCAAAAAGGGGAAGAGATTGCAAGCATCCTACTAAAATACTTACAAGAGAAGACTTCCACCAAAGAGCACCTAGTGGTTTTTACGGATAATTGCGGGGGACAGAACAACAACTGGGCGATCATCATGTCTCTGTGGCTGCAACTTGTCCGAGAAGGATTTTATAAGTCAATTGAACACCGTTTCCTTATTTCTGGCCATACTGACTTACCTTCAGATAGAGATTTTGCTATCATCGAAAAACATAAAAAGTATATTAAGCAGGTATACTGTCCAGAAGATTGGGTGGACATTGTGAAGAAATCAAATAGGAAGAATCCATTTGACACAGTGTTAATGCAACAACAAGACTTCTATATATGCTTGCCCTACTGAGCGAGGGTCGTGGCAAATGCTTGTTCCGGAAGTTGTTGTATCCAGTATACAACTTCTTCCCGTCCAAGTGATTGTGCACGCGTTAAGGAATACCTCAGTACCGATTGCCGGGTGGCGGTACAAGTCCGCCAACGGGCCACTTTAGGTCTATTTAACATCACTAACATGTAAAAAGAAGGTGGTAGACAAGGACCAGTCGACCGAGGCAGTACCACCCGCTAGCTTTTCCCAGGATGTCTTATAAATGTCGGCATGTTTCCACACCTAAGCTATGCAGTCGATTATCTACCAAAACAAAGAAATTAATGATGATGGATCCCTCGAGCACTAAGAACTCCAGACGTAAACTCACTCCACTCTCGAAATGTCCGGTTGGAGGGTGTGTTCGAGGGAACAACATCGAAGATAAAATTTGTTTTTCGAACATCTGCGGGATCAACAGCAACATTGATGCTGTTCATCACTACCTGCAATCCAATCGTCCCGCCGTGCTTTTCTTGGCGGAGACAAAAATCTCAGAGACTGCACCGATTAACCATCTCAACTTCCCAAACTACGAGGTGCACTCCAATCTGAGAAAGAACGGGGGAGTTGTGGCTTTTGTCCGCAGCAGTCTTTCCTACTCCAGGGATCTTTCTTTGGAATCAGACCGGAAGGACATTCTGTGGCTTCGCCTCAACTCCAAAACATCACCCAAATTTATTTGCTCTCCCCACACCGCTTCAGAGGTAGTTCTTCTCGGTGATTTCAATGCCCATAATGAGCTTTGGTTGGGCTCAAATAAGACCGATGCAGCAGGTCGTGCAGTCGAAGCGTTCGCTCTTACTCAAGGGCTGACCCAACTGGTGACGAGCCCTACTTTTTTCCCCGGGTCTCGTCACACGCCAGTAGCCTGCTGGATCACTTTCTGACCACGCATCTTGCCCCTTACAGCACTGCTGTCCTGTCCCCCCTGGGTAACTCAGATCACGCTGTTGTGGAGGTTAGGTTTCGGTCAGAAGCCGGTGTGGCAGCAGAAATTCGCACAGGCCGCAAAACTTGGCATTACGGACATGCCGACTGGGAGGGGCTCAGAGACTTCTTCTCTAGCTTTCCTTGGAGAGATAGATGTCTGTTTCACTGACGCGGATGCGTCGACTGTCTGTTCTTCAATAACCGAAATTATCCACGTCGGAATGGAGGAATACATCCCTCACACAGTGAAAGTTCCTAAACCAGGGTCCAACGGCTGGTTCAACAAATCGTGTGACACTGCTCGCCAGCAGAAGATCAAGGCCCACAGAACCTACTTACAAAACCCCACTGTAGAGAACAGACAATCCGACGTCGAGTCCAGAAACAAATATAACGAAGCGGTTCGCAATGCCAAAAACCAGCATGATATAAAAGTTAGACACAGGGTAATGTCGCAGCGCAATGGCAGTCGCTGGCCAAGCAAATTGAAAAGAACTTCTCACACAGTAGCCTTCCACCACTTACGTGTCAGGATGGAACTATTGTATTATTATATAAGTGCTAGCCAAGATCTTTGCTGCCAACTCCACCATGGACGTCCCCACCAATACCCAAGTGCCGTCAATCCAAAGGGTTCCCCACACTATGCGGGAGGTAACATTCAGGCATAAGACCGTAAGACGAGTGCTCTTGTCGCTCGACATCAACAAAGCTTCTGGTCCGGACTTGATTCCTGCCATTGTACTGAAGAGATGTGCAGCGGAGCTTGCTCCAGTTCTTTCGCGTCTCTTCCAGATATCTTATGAATCCGGCACCTTCCCAGAAAACTGGAAATTTGCTCATGTACAGCCCATCTCAAAAAAAGGATCTAAGATCGACCCTTACAACTACAGGCCTATAGCTCTGCTTTCTGTTATAAGTAAAGTGATGGAGAGGTGCATAAATCGCGAGCTTTTGGACTACCTCGAACGTCACAGCTTGATTAGCGACAGGCAGTACGGTTTCCGGCACCAACGATCCACAGGGGACCTCCTAGCTTACGTCACGCAACTGTGGAGTACACTTATCCAGTCTCATGGTGAGGCTCATGTCGTTGCTCTTGACATCACGAAAGCGTTCGATCAGCTGTGACACGCTGCCCTCTTAAGTAAACTTCCATCCTACGGCCTCCCAGAAAAGCTTTTCAGATGGGTGGCTGACTTTATCTCTGGCCGCAAGATATCCGTCGTAATTGACGGATTCTCCTCTTCATACGTCAACGCGGATGTTCCCCAGGGATCGGTCTTGGCTCCAACACTGTTTCTCTTACATCAACGACCTCCTTTCCTGCACGATCAACCCAATCCACAGCTTCGCTGATGACAGCACTCTACATGCAGGAATTCAGAGTGACAAGCCGATCTCTGCCGCTGAGCTGGAAAAAAGAAGACTAGCGACGACTTCTTCTCTGACAAGAGACCTGGAGGCTATCACTGCTTGGGGACGCAACAATCTTGTACAGTTCAATGCTTCAAAACACAGTACTGTACTTTGACGAACAAAAAGCGTCCTAGCGCTCATACAGTTTCGATGGACGGTCGAGTTCTACCAAAGAGCCATTCATTTCGGCTGGTCGGAGTCCAGATCACCGAGGACCTGATCTGGCACGAACACATCTCTTCAATAGCTGCAGCTGCTGGGAAAAAGCTAGGCTATTTGTTTAGGGCTAAGAGGTACCTTCCTCCGCATGACCTTCTCACTCTATACAAGGCCCAGTTAAGGCCTAGCCTCGAGTATTGCTCACACATTTGGGGTGCTGCCGCCCCGACTACATTGTCCATGCTCGATGCTGTTCAGAGGAGGGCGGTCCGACTGATCGATGACTCTTCTCTAACAGACAGTCTCGGGACTCTTTCGCACCGGCGGGCCGTCGGCGATCTAGCTCTCTTCTATCGCTACACCAACGGGCTTTGCTCCTCAGAGCTCTCTTCCATGATGCCGCCGCGCGATGTGCCTGCCAGACAGACCCGCCTGACTTCGGCGTCCCATCCTAACCGTGTCAAACTTCGTTCCTCCAGAACTGTCCGATACGACCGCTCCTTTGTCCCGAGGGTGTCTAGATTGTGGAACAATCTACGGGAGGAAGCTTTTCCCAGTTCTACTAACCTTAGGCAGTTCAAAAATCGTATTAACAAAATTTCTTTGGGATCATCATAGCAGCCGCGGTGTTCCGGCATTTAGGCTTCTGCCTGCGCGGCTGTTTCGATATAAAAAAAAAATAAACTCGATTCTATCTGTATGACGAAAAAAAACGTCACTTTAGGTAAGGAGCCCATCAAATTCAGTGAAGTGCGATGTTTAAAGTTTGACAGTGAACATCTAAATTCTATGTTCATGAAACACAAACTTAACGGAGAATTTCTTGAGGTAAATGTGGGTAAAAGGGGATCTAGACTAGGAGACCAACGAGTCTTGAATAATCTGAGACCAAAATACGATGTCCCTGTATCACTGAATGTCAAGAAGATCCAGGATCTGAAAAAGCTCTTAAAATACATCCCACCCGTCAGTCAGCAGCTTTTTGTAGATATTGTGGGAGATACTATTGCAGCAGAGTCAGAGAATGAACAGACAGAAGGAGAAGAGGAAGTTGAGAACATAGATGGTGATGAAGAAGCGGCGGATATTGAATAAAGGAACATGAATACTCATTATAATTGCAGTTTTTTAAGTTATCTTTATAATGCAGACTTTCTTTTGTAATGAGGTACCAAGCCACAGAATTTTGCAAAATAAATTATTTTCAAGAAAATGTGTTACATTTTCTCTACGCAGTTGTCATCAGGTTGTAGTTTTTCGAGTTGTAAACGTATTATGTCAGTCCTGGCTAAATATAGAAAAGAGCATGATTTCAGGATTTACATAAAATTTACAATGTCCGATTTCTCAAAACAATGTCAGAGCGGCTTAGGCGTGTGATGATGTCATTTGAAGTACTCACAGAAGTTGAAGGAGGCTGACGTTGCCTTAACAAAATTTGAGCACACGTAAGGAAAAGGTTCATGAAAATTTCGACAAAAGAGTTTCTCTGTGCAACCAAAGCCGATGAGGACATTTGGTAGATGCTCGATATCTATCTATCCTGATAACTTTATGATATAATAGAAAAAAACTCTGTTTTCTATTTAAGTCAAGCCCCACGTGAACTTTGAGGCACTCTTTATATGAGAATACAGCTGCTACTTTTTTGGAAATGCTAAAATAGCTTTACGGCAAATTCTCCTTATGTTGGGATGTGAACGTCCAGTTAAACTAGTCGGTCGCAAATCATAGCACGATTCCACGTCCGAGCGATTTCAAAACAAATTGCTGTTTGCCCTGCAACAACGTCTGCGACCGCACGAGCCAGCCTGATGTTCTTATTTTATTTGTGGGGTTAGGGGACCGGGGGTCCAGGGGTGTATTGGCGATTTGCCCCTGGCACGCTGCTACCAGCATCGCGTTCCTTCGACTACACCAAATACATCATCGTTCCGACGACAAACAGGCAAATGCGTGTGCAAACAAACCATCCGTCTTCCCTTTCTGTTCCGCATACGGTGCGCGACGAAAGTTGGGCCCTGAAAGGCAGAAAATTGAAACACCTATAGCACATGTGAAGTGACGTGAGATGTGAGAAACGATCCGTACTTGTCACACGTGCTGCGTACGTATCCGAATATTGAGGAACAGTTTGACAGAATCTCGCGTCACATTGGAAAATGTCTGATACACGAAAAAAACA